GCTTCAGCATACTTCCCTGACAGCAATTACTACTTCACTAATAGGCTTTGTTGCATCTTTTGGCGTTTTGGGGTGTTATGGGAAAAGCACAAAAAATGCAAATGAGAGTGTTTTTTAGGAAATAGTTGTGGATAGTTTTTGCAGGAAGATAAAAAAATGGCAATAGATGGGAGTTCACTGAATGGTCATTGTTTTGGCTGGATTGGAGATGGATGCTCATGTTTGTAGATTAAGCTAAAAGCTCTCGTCCCAGCCTGATCGAAGCATGATAGAATCATTCTTGCATTAACAGCTTATCGCATCTCCCCAATCAGCTCAATTTGACTTAATCTAATTACATTAACAGAGGACTATGGATATCGCTCCTTCACATCACATGTCGGTGCCCCTCGCAGTGTGATTTCAGATCTGTGCGGTGCGATAAAGATGCCCGCGGTGTCTGCGTAATCGCAGACCGCAAAGCACAACATGTTGATGTGCCTCAGCGCCGCATCGCTGACGCTTGTTGCGACGCTTTCGACGCAGGTGCCAAGGAGGTGAACGCTAGCGGGAAGACTTTCACAGTGCGCAGCTCGCTGCAGCTGCGCGTGGACAGAAATGATGACGGGGTGGCATACACTTGCAGAGTGGACCACGAGGCACTTTCGCAGTCGCCACAGCAGACCACTGAAGTGCTGGAGGTGCACTGTGAGTATGAACCTAAACGCTTGATGTGAACAAATGAGCGTCCTGGACGAATTCCTTCATTCGACCCTCATAACTTTGTGTGTGTTTGTCTTAGATGCTCCTCGGGTGGAGATCGTCCACTCTCTCGCAGTCCCTCAGGAGGGTCAGTACCTAAAGCTGGACTGTGTGTCCCAAGGAAACCCTTCGTAAGTCACTTGTGTTTCATTTGCATGTGTATAAAGACATGCACGCGCATGCATGGCATGCACGCATGCACACACACACACACACGACTAAATACTACTATTACTACCACTACCGAATAACATACAAACACTTTTGTCGTTTGCCAAATGTAAAATTGTTACACTGGTGATTCATTTTAAATGCATCATTTGGCCTTCAAAAGCAGATGTTGATTGTTGTTGGTCTGTTATGGAAGAATCTTTTTTTCTGCTTTTTTTCACTCTAAAATTGGTGATTATGGGTGAACGCAACCCAATTTTTACTGCTGATTATGAGAAAATTGAATTTTTTTTTTTATTCTATTTTATTTTTTCACATTTTGACTTCCTCACGTTTATTTGAAATTCTGTTCTCTGAAAGTCTACATTATGCATGAGTATCTCATGAAGCGTCTGTCCAAATGGATCACGTTTGCTTCTCTTTCCAGGCCAGATCCTGTGATGTGGACGAAAGACGGCGTGGAACTTTCGGACCTTGGCAGAGTGATTGTGGAGGGTCGGGAGCTGACATTCACATCACTGAACAAGACGGACAACGGCACGTACCGCTGCGAGGCCAGCAACCACCTCGGGACCAGCAGCGCTGAATATGTACTCTACGTGTACGGTGAGTCCTGCGGGGAAAAAGCTCACGCGTATGCTTGCGTCTTAGGAAGTTCTAATATCTTTCGGCAACGGATTGGAACATCATGTTTGTTGAAGGAGTCCTTGGATTTTTGGAACAGTGGAACAGTCCGTTACCGTTTAATCCAGGTTTCATTTTGGAGTTCATGCTGGATTTTGAATTTGGAACAATTTAGTCATTTAACATGATATGTAAATGAGGGGTTTCTTTTTTAACCCTGGAGAACTCAAGAACCCTTTTCTTCTTTGGAAAATGGTGAATTTTACATTAAATGACTGCTATATGTTCACAGAACACCAAAATATGTGTTTTTTTTTCAAATATTTAATGCTTTAATCCGAATGTAGGATTAGGACCAAATTTGACCCTTTGGGATTTAAGGGTCAAATTTGAGTAGCAGAATTTATAGGGGCCAAATTTGACCACGTGGGTTCTCCAGGGTGAAATTAGATCAACCAGAGTCACAAAACAGAAGCGTTTTCCACCGGGGAACGAATGGCAAGTCAGCCCGGTCGACAATGTGCAATACATTCATTGTTTGGTACTCTTGACCAATTGTAATTTCGTAACCGCTCCAAAAGAAAATGCATGAAAGCATCCAATCAAAATATACAGTTTGGCCTGAAATGATCTTGCGTGTCAACCGTGCCAGATATGTACAATCAGCCATAAAAGCAAACACCAAAGTGAAGCGCGAGTGGTTTTCGAGCCTCCCGCTGTGCACGTGTATCAGAAGTGTGAGTGATTAGTGGTAACACGGCTCACAGGGCCTCAGGTGGCACTAATACCACCAACGTCTTTCTTTAAATAAACCCGCGTCCCAGATATTCCTCATGCATGCACACGGTGAGGGGAGGAGCGAGGGTGTGTGTTTGTGTGTGTGTGTGTGTGTGTGTGTGTGTGTGTGTGTGTGTGTGTGTGTGTGTGTGTGTGTGTGTGTGTGTGTGTGTGTGTGGAATTTAGTGCCGCGTTGTCAGTCATGCCACCGCGGAGGATAAGTCATCGCGAGTAACGCCAGAGGAGGTGGAGGATGAAGTGAATCAGTGTCAGGGAAAACAGATAGCTCGCCCTCCCGTTTTCCTGCGTCTCTCCGAATTAAGTCTCTGCTCCTTTTGTTTGAGGACGGCGGCGTGTGCGCGCGTGCGCGTGGACGAGTTGAGAGACAACAAGGCAGAAAGGGAATTTCCCCAAGTGGAACAATAAATATTGCTTTATTATTACGACTCGCATCCAGCGGGGCGTTTGTGTTTTGCACTGAGCATGATATTCAATATTCTTTGGTCAAATAATAGCGAGGCCGTGCGAAGTTTGGAAGCAAGGTTGCCATCAATAGTTCATGAAGTGTCTGCTTCAGGTCGTACTCGCGGCCGCTGTGATGTGAATGGAAACACTTTTTTTTTTTTTTTTTTTTTTTTTTTTTTGTCAGTCATGATAAATATATGTATTGTGGGTTTTGGCTTCAAACAAAATCCCTCTTTGGTTGAAAGAAGCAACGTGTGGCTCCAAAAATATTTTCGACACCGATTGATGAGATCACTCGCGTCTGTGCACCTCCATGTTGAACTTTTGATTGATGAGCATCGGTTTTAATTGGCTAAAGCCTTCAACTCTCGATGAAGTGTCGAGTTTGATGGTCTGATAGCCAACGGTGTTCTCACGATAATTCGGAGGGAGAAGCCCATGTTTTTGAATGAACAATTGTGGCATCATATTGTGGCAATATTATTATTTTTTTTTTTCTTTTTTTTCAGAATTCATCCAAAAGTGTTTCTGCTGCACCAAAATTAAGGATGCAGTAAAGCAGACATAAATTATCAGCATTACCCAATATTTTAGCGGTAAGACGATAAATCTACCGCTATTATGAAAATGATTTGTTGTTCAGAAACATTTAATTCCCGCCACTCAACCGTAATTATACTCCAATTTGTGTAGTCCGCCATGAAAGCAGATTATTATCTTTGTGTTTCATCACAATGTGACATTTGCAACTCGCCGCTGTTACTTTGAAAAACAGCAATCAACATTTTTTTTGCCCCTTTCCTGACCAAACCAGTTACGGAGTCATCATCACTTATGTTTGTCAATTTGAAATCATGACCTATTTTTATGAAAAAGGATGCGCATTAAAACATGTTTATTTCCGTATTTGATTAATCGGGCGGGCGAAAAAAAAATCTGCAGATGAATCAATTATTAAAATTGCAATCATTAAATATTTTGAAAAAAAGAGACGAAGTTCTCGGACTCGCCCTTTACAAAGTTTCGGTCCATATTTCTGGTGAGATTCAATTAGCGTGCGTCATCCCATGACTTGGAGCCTAGCATACCTTTAAAAATGTCATGGAAATGTAACGGCATAAAATAAACGGTGACCTTCCTGAAAACGATGTTTCAAACTGACAAACTCAACACCGCAGAGAAGAGCAACCTGAGGCCCAAGAGAGTTAAAGAGTCCGATGGAGATTCATGACTCGTTCTTGGAAAATGGCACCCGCTTTGTCCCCGGCATTCATTAGTGATTAGCACACCTTTTAGCCTTTTGCGATTGCTGCCACAATTCTTGGGAAATACCTTTTTAATGGTTCCTCTGCAGCAAGGAGGCACTTTGACTCGGACGCGCAGTCAAACTGTTTTGCGCATCTCGCCGAGGCTGACGAGTCGCAAAGGCAACCGGGCCTTGCAGCACGGCCAATTAAAAAGCCTCCACGGCACCATAAAAACCAGAGTGACACAAACAAGGTGGCGGTGTCACCTCATTAACTTTGTCAAACAACGTTTCACCGTCGATCCCTTTGTCCCGTTAGTATTTGACCATCACCTTGGAGGAAAAAAACCTCGAGGAAAGTCTTCCAGCCGTGACTCGGGTTACCGTTGTTGTTGTTTTAGATATTTCTCTTGATTTTGGATTTTTTTTTACCCTTTCTTACGCACTGTAACCCACAGGTGTCAAAGTCAAGGTCCGGGGGCCAGATCTGGCCCGCCACATCATTTTAGGTGGCCCGCGAAAGCAAATCAAACGTGGCAACTTCCATGATGCTTGCTACAATATGTACCAAAATGTTAAATTCTCAAATGTAATAAATAAGAGAGACACGGGAAGCATTTTCTTGTTGCCAAACACCTCATTACAGTAACTTCAACAATAGTTGAACAAGCTGTGATTTTTGACTTCTTCATTTGATTTCAGTCAAAATGCCCCTCCAAGGGAAAAAAATGTGGCCCGCGACGAAAATGGGTTTGACGCCCCTGCTGTAACCTGATAACATGATAAACCGTCATTCTTTTTTTAGGTTAAGTCTTTTTTTTTTTGTTTTGTTTTGTTTTTTTGTATGTTTAAATGTTGCTGCTCCCCTCATCATTGTGACATCAAACCACTCCCACACTCTCTTCCAGTGGTGGTCTTCACTTCCACCAGCCGCATTTCTAATTCAGTAGAACCTCCGGATAAGATATTTTCATTCATTCTAATATGTTTTATTGTATTTCATGTTAAAAATGTATTCAGTATTATTTGTAGTGGATCCAATCATTCTTCCCTCTAGCAACTATTAAAAAAAAATCAAATAACCACAAATCTAGTGACTTTGTGTGGCTATTAAAGACTACTGGAGACTCTGATACTCCCTCAAGTCAATTTCCGAAAATAAGTCCTCTGATAAAAAAAATTATTTTTTTATTTATGACCGTGTTAGTAGTTCTACAGACTCGGGGTAAAAGTGCAGAAAGAACAAAACCAAGCAACCTGGCTTACCTATTTTGTCTTCACTGGTTGTTCTAGAAACATGGTGGTAAAACTGATAGTTCTATGAAGTTGAGAAATTCTGAATAAAACCCCCCCCGGGTGCTTTTTTTTCTGCAGCGCTGATGCGATCGGCTAGAATTAGTTCTCCGGGCGATGTAAACATGCGAGATAAATGCGTCCACATCCACAGCATGCCTTTGGAGCTTCTTCTTCACCGAAACATCGGATTTATATTGTGGTCAAAATTTGAAGCAAAATGAAGATGACCTCTCGAAAGAGCGAGAGGGCGGACGTTTTGACGCCAGGTGATTAAGGTCTATCGTGATGAAAACGCAACACGAGACGCTCCGACTGCGAGATTTCTGCCGGGCGATTTTTATCCACATGACGTACGTTAGCATTTGCTTTATTGCTGAATATATTAGTATGTACATTTTTGCTTGTTTTTTTTTTTTAACCACCGTTTTTGTTTTCCCCATTGCTATGTCATGCTTTGCTGTAACCACTCGCCGCCATATCGAATTGCTCCCTTTTTCAATCCGTCGCCCCCCCCCCCAAGTTATTGTTTGTCCTTTGTAAATGTTTGTATGTCTATCCACCCCCCTCCAGAAGAACCCACCACCCTGCCTCCATCCACCACACCCCCCTTCCATCCCATCCCCCCAGACTCCACCGCTCTAATAGGCACCCTCGCTTCAGACCCCGCAGTCACTGGAAACCGAGGTACAGTACCACCAACCCGCTTCCTTCCAACCTCCTCGCCATATTTGGGCATCTCACGCTTGTCTTACCTTAACTGTCATGTGTGCTTATTTCTTCGCCCTCTCACACCTCACTGTCCAAAAATTAATAATTGAAGAGAAACTGACTGGGTTTTTTTTGCCCCCCACCCCCACCCTCTTTAAGATGCTTCCTCTCGCTTATTGTATTCAGTTTGAGTACAGCTGTTTAAAATCCAATGTCCCCCTTGACATTCCCGAAGACTTCAGTAGTCCCGTGTCATGAAAGCTCAAAGAAGTAAATGTCATGTCCAACCGCAAATGTCTGCCCCCCAGAGATGACTCATCGTGACTCCTAATGCTGTGCTCAATCCAGGGAAACCTTTCACACTTGAAAAGAACCCCTTTTATTTTTTTTTTTCTTTCTTAAGTAGTAACTCAAACTTTTACGGAGTGCCGTTGATCTACAGTCCTCTCATATTAAAGTTGAATGATTTGTGTTATGAGGAATGGGCTGTCATCTTTAAAGGGGATTTGAGGATTATGAGAGGGAACGCAAAATGCTGATGTCACCATTTTTTTTTTTTTTTTTTTTTAAGTGTCTGTCATTCCCACAAAGGTTGATGACGTGTAGGATAATAATTATAGATTGAACCGTTCGGGTGTCCACTGGTGTGTGGACTATGAAAGCACCGCGATGGTGCGCATGTTCGTGACATGTGGTCGGAATCCAAAAGAAAAAAAAAAATGCTATGCAATCCTCTTAAATGTGTACGAAAATAAGGCTCAAGCCATAAATGTTGGACGAGTAATTAAATATTCTCAGCCGGTACCATAGAATCCAGTGTGAAGAGGTCACGGTCGTGTCTCCGTGCGTTGCTTTAATCCTCCACAAGGTCGACAGCATCATATTTGAGTTAACCATGTTCCAGCCCTCCATAGTGCGAAGAGCCCTTCCAAGATTGGAGTTAGAAAAAGTTTCTCCCGTCTATCACGGTGACAACCAACGAGCCCGGAGACGCCAGAAAGATGTTATCGCCGGATGAGAACTACTTTCACACACTGCGGTGGGGATATTGTCGAGTGATACAAGGAAGAAATGAAGGACTTTTGTTGAACCCTTCAACGTTATGGAGGAGGAGTTGGCATGATGCGGCTCAACGAGGTTGTTGGGAGTAATAAGACGCTAGTTGGACAAGATGTTTCCAGATAGGGGGAATTTGGGGATTATTGTTTGGCCGTCGTGGTTGGCAGACCACTTAAGTGCCAGTCTGATGTTGAACAAAGCACTTAGAGGAACTAATAGACAAAAGTTCCTTGTCCCATTTTTCACAGGCTTCTCGGGCCGTGTTCCAAATGGAAATGGAAGAGCAAATCCATTATGAAAAATGCGTCGTCTGAATTTTTAAATGAAGTTTTACCACAGAGAACGCCAACTGTCACAGACGTAGTGCTCCCGCGTTACGTCTGTAATATTGAAAAAAATGAATAAATCATGGGTCACATTGCTCAAACAGTTTTAAAAATGAGCAAAAATACCTGCTAGATAGTTGTGATGTAGGGCGGCACGGTGGTTGACTGGCTAGCACGTCGGACTTACAGTGAAGAGGTGCAGGGTTCGATCCCAGCTCCGGCCTTGCTGAGTGGAGTTTGCATGTTCTCCTGCGTGGGTTTTCTCCGGGTACTCCGTTTTGCTCCCGCATTCCAAAAACATGCACGGCAGGCTCATGGAACACTCTAAATTGTCCCTAAATTGTGGCGCGGATACCCACGACCCTTATGAGGACAAACGGATCAGAAAACGGATGGACGGATAGTTACGATGCATGTTAACAAGACGCCGCAGATCACTCACGGGCAGCGAAAGCTAGCGAACTTGTGCAACTTTAGCCAAAAGCTAACGTCTTGAGACCGTCTTCATATTAGCGGCGAAGAACAAGGGCAGTGTGACACAAAGTGAAGCTTCATCGCCAGAGCATGTCCAATAATGCACAGACGGCAACCGTGGGCCCATGACAACTTTCTTCATCAAAGCACAACAAATGTCATCAAACTTGCTGGAATATGCCACGGTTCGTTGAAGTCGAGCTAATGGTTCTTATGGACCAACGGACAGTACGATGGGTGCGCAGTCATCTGGACGCTTGATGAATATGCAAACCGATCATATAGACAAACCAGAAGAAGGTTCTGAACGGAATGCCTGTTCCGCTGGTGATTCTGTTCCTCCACCCACACTACGATAACGCTGACGCAGCACCACACGAGACGTCGCGTTGGATTGACATGTCAATTTAAAACTGAGGTGCTGCGTTAAGCGATATGCAGATGAGTTCGCTGACCCTCAAAGTCTCAAAGTTGAAACCACCATTTGCGGGCGATGCTCCCCAGTGCCTTGCTTTCTGCGGCTGCTCTTTTTCCCTCTCGAGCCTCTTCTTTCTGTGTCATTGGCTTTTTTCTC